GTTCGTTCCCGTTACCCCTTCACACTCGGTGTGTTGTTTGTTCCCTTGCGATCGTTTCTTCTCCTTACCCACACCGCCCCGCCAAGGCCCGTGGCCTGGTCTGGGAGCCCCGATAGGGTGGACGGCCCCCCACACACCTTTATACGCTGCCAACCGCCCCCCACCCCACCTCCCAGCGGTGCCACTCCCCGCTGACGCGGCCCAATGGTGGAGGCGCGCGGTGCAGACGCCCCGCGGGGAAGGGTGCTGGGGGGGGGGGCTCTTCCTGACACCCACCTGCTCACCCCGCCTCCCATTTGTCAGATAAAAAGCAACCAATTTCAGGCCACCTCCTCAGGGGCAGATCGCTCCTGGAATGTGGCTAGGGAGGAAAGGGCGACGGGTTTTCTTGGAAGAAGGAGGAACAAGAGAAGGATGATCTCCTGTTTCCTAGATGGCTCATCACCCCGTTTTCATGGGTACGTTGTCCTCTTCCAGCATGGCGCCCCGAAGTCGCCCACCCCGTGCTGGAGATGGAGGCCAGGGCTCTGGGCCAGCACGCAAGGCAAGTGTTCAACCCCGGGAGTCACACCTCAGCTTTGGTTTTAGGGATTTCTGAGACACCCCCTCTTAACTTCGTCTGGGCTGGCCTAGAACTTGTGCTTCTCCTGCCTCAGCCTCCAAGTAGCTACGATTGTTCCCACAACATATCCCACTCCAAGAAGAGGGTCTCCTGTGGTCCCCTCACAAACGCCTTCAAGTCCTGTCCCAGACTCAAAGGTTCAGGAAAGGTAGAAATGTCCTAAGATGTTCAGAGTGAATCACTGAAGGGAGCCCAAAGGATTCCCCCAGTCCTTTCAGCAGTGATGAATAAAAACGACCGTTATTGTCATTACCCTGCACCTGTGCCTACAATAGACTCCACGAACCAAGGTATTCACTGCAATGATGTCTCATAGTTTCTTTTTCTTAATGGTCTTAACTAAAAACTCCCACAGAACAAAGGGATGCACTCTTGCAGGTGTCTACCTTTTCCCTTCTCTCTCGTCCTTTTTTCCCTGTCATTCACTCTATATTTTCAGAACGAACCCTCCTTTAAAAAAATCTTTAAATACTTGCACAAAGGGGCTGCTATTCAGCAGAGCAGTTTATGGATACAGTAGGTCCTGATCAATGTCACGCCCTTCAGCATTATCACCTTTCCTTCCCAAACCCTCTTCTCTCAGTTTTCTTAATTTTGTGGGCATTTTTTTTATTGCAATGCCTTTCTGTTTTTCCCTTGATAGAAAGAACACTTCTGATAGGATGCTTGTACTCTAAGAATAAAACTGGACTCTTAATGGAGGAAAGGGAGGGCCGCACCGTCACTGTCACTGGCTAATCGTGTCATCATTCAGTATCCACACTGCTCAGCTGCAAGCGACACCAGTCCTGTTAACACTGGCTCACTTGAAATCCTTGAAGATTTTTTTTTTATTGTCTTCATCAGACTTAGGGACTAATGAAGCAGTTCTGTGGAACGCAATTCAATTCAGATAAGCGGGAAATGTATGGAGGCATAGCACACAGTCGTAGTTTGAAACCCACCAACTTGGGGAAAATACAAGGCAACATCTGGCAAAATGTGGCACAAACCACTCAGCTACGCAGGAAGCCTTCTGAATGTATTGGTAAAATGACGAATTTTCTGTGAGGCATCAGAAGCCAACCACCAGGGCACATGATCAAGACCTAGCTTCATACTTGTGGGATGAAATTTAGTTGAAAGCAGTTAGCACCTTTGGGATCAAATGTGGAGAACAGCTTCCTGCAAACCTTTTTGTTAAGACTTCTCTACTCCCGAAGTTTTACCCACTAAAGCTTTCCAGTTGTACACAGCTTGAAAAACCAGTAACAAAAAGGTTTGAGCCTAATGGATTTGTGCTTGAATCCCAAATTTACCAGCGATAATTTGTATGATCTTCTAGACCAAGCTCCAGGAGGGCTGGGACAGGTGTCTTATTCAAGCTGGTGCTCCCCAGAGAACCTGCTCAACACCCCCCCACCCCCATCGCGTCATCCTTTCCACCCTCACCTCTGCTGGAGAGGCATATTTTCTCAAGCAGACCAGGGAGCCCAGTACCTGATACAGGCAGAATTGTTAAAGTTGTCCTAAAGTCCATTTCTATGGGAATTTGGGTATATTTACAAATGAAAGGATGTAAGGATGTGCTCAAAAAGAAATAACAATAAAAAGCCTTAGTTAATAGTGGCATAGGAGGTCCTGCAGTCCAAAGCTGGGGTAACCTGTGAACAAGGACATTAAGCAACATTAGATTTTAACTCAAAAGTACAAAATAAATATCCGTGACATTTGTCTCTCCCTACGTAACTACTCAATGATTTCTTATCAATGTGAAAATCAAACTTGTGGCAGAAAAAAAAAATCTGAACTAAGGTAGGCAATCTATCTTGAAGGAGGTGCAGCATAACTCCCCACTACTAAAGTTTGGGCTGAACAGCTCAGGTTCCTCCAGAAGCTTTAGTGTTCAAGTGGAAAAGAGGGATTCTTTCCTTTCCACGGAGTAATGAAGGCCAACTTCAAGAGTCACAAATCATGTTGGCAAGTATATCTTTAATAAGATGTGATAAAAACGGCACTCTGGTTTTTCTCTATGTTCCTAGACTAATCATGACAACAGAAAAACTCCAATAGAGAAACATTTGTGTAGCTGGCCAGATTCCCAAATGGAGTCATTAAAGCAAAGGGTGAAGTCTAAGAAACGGAGTCAGCAAGCATGGGGAAATAATGCAAAGTCCCGTCTGCTTAGGAAATGAACTATTGCAAGACTTGCTAATTCATGTATGGATGGCCACGGAGAGGGAAAACTTCAAGGCCTGAACAGTACGTTTTTACCAAGTTGAGTCTGTCAGTCACTCGGCCTTTCCTCTTATCATCTGAGTTTCACACAGCTGTCTTCAATGCCATGTCACTTTTGCTCTTTTCATTTACAGCTGGAAAAGGCCTCAGAAAGAACCATTTACTTGCCAGGCACTAGTGGCTCACATCTGTAGTCTTAGGTACTCAAGAAGCTGAGGATCATAGTTAGAAGCTAGCCCAGGCAGGAAAGCTCATAAGCCTCTCATCTCCAAACAAACCACCAAATAGCAAGAAGTGGGGCTTGTGCCTCAAATACAGCAAGGCCAAGTTCCCAAATATCCTGGAATTGCAGGTTAAACTATGGCTCTGATCACTTGAAAACATACTTCATTTGGATAGTGATGACTAATGATGACTAGATCACTGTGCCTTCAAGAAATAAAAGCAATATAAAATACAACAAAATCAAACAAAGATATACCAGTCCACTCAGATTCACAAGTTAAAAATAGGTTAGAGAAAATGAAGCTAAAGGTAGTGACATTTATGTCAGTTCATCAGCAGCTATTAAAATTTTAAATGTGCAAATACTAGAAGCTAGTGAGACACTAGAGAAACACCCATGGGAAATGTGCACAGTAATATTCTCCCCACAGCAGCTAGCAGTTTCAAAAGAGAAATAACTGATTCATCCACCAGTGATCCCACTCACATAAATTCTCAGTTTAAACCCTCAGCACTCCCCAGTGAATTAAGTAATCCAGCACCAGTAGCTCACACCTATAATCCTAGCTAGGCAGGAGGCAGATCTCATCTGAGGACTGTCCCAGCTGAGGCAGTAAAGTCTTATGTATAATTAATCACTCCAACAAGACAGAAGTGAAGTTGTGGTTAAAGTTATAGAGTGCCAGCCTTTAGGGGCAAAGCTGAGGGACAGCACCTAGACCAAGTTCAAGCCCCAGGACTGGCACATTTTTTAAAAAATTAAAAAAACAAGTAATTCAGATGTTTACTCTCTGTCCTCCAAACCACCAGCCTGGCTGTCACCCTCGCCCTGCTCCCAGTTCATTTCCCAGCACACTGGGCAGTTGCCATCTAAATGTTTCAGCGACCTTCCCCACTGATGCCAGTCACCTGTCCTACACTGTACAAATGACTCCGTTTACTTCCCTTCTCAGTGTAAGATCTACATCTGATCTCTGTCACTCAGTCTAGAGGTGATCTTCACTGTGATCGGCCTATTCGGTGATTCTACGTATTTCTCATTGATGTATGTTCCTCCAACCAAATAGTTGACTTCCGTTGTTTTATTATTATTTTACAAGCAAACTGTCTTCTATAAGGAATGATGTTTACTTAACAAGAGATAAAAATAAGACCCTGCAGGTATCAATGACAAGTTTCTATGTTTCTTAGACCATGCCTCTGATCCCTGGAAAATCATTCTCTTTGGGAAGATTAATGTGTGAAAGAATTGTCTGAAAGGACAGAACACAGGCTGAGTGCTAGGAAGAAATAGAGATGGAGGGAAAGGCTCAGGGAAGGCTGACTTCATTTGTAATGTTACAAAAGCGTATGTACACATGTGTAATTTAAAATATTTAAGGATAATTTACTACAGTTAAGAGGAAACAACAAATGTTCCTGAGTATTACAAATACCCATTTTCAGAGTTTAGATTTTTATTCCAAATGTTCTTCCCATTGGGACAACTAATTGTATGCTTTTCACAGCCAAATGATAAACAAATAGCTCTAGGCACTTATTATTTGCCAAAGCATATTATTATTGTGTCATTATAAAAACTATAAATTTTCAAGAAGAATAACAGTGTTATGTAGGCTCTGCTGTGTTCTAGGACCTAGGTACATTAAACACCTACTGAAAGCCGGGCATGGGTGGCTTACACCTTTAATCCTAGTTACTCAGCAAGACGGTGCTGGAGCATCTGGGCTCAAAGCCAGCCCCAGCAGAAAAGTTGAAGAGAGTCCATTGCCAAAAGCTGGGCTGGAGGCAAAAATTCTGAGCAAGAAAGCTGAGATAGAGTTTGAGGCCCTGAGTTCCAGCCCAGGTATGGGGGAGTAGGGGATAGGGAGCCTATTTAATGCTTCAATGGTTGATATTATTATCTACTTCAGAAATAAGAAATCCAATCTCAGACAGAGTAAACACTCAAAGCAGCAAAGCTAGAATTAAGGCCTAGATTTGACTTAAAAAAATTAGATTTCTATTGAGCAATCGTCACATAATTAAGGGTCGTTTCTCAAACATAAGCGAAAAGAATGGATTCAGGAAGCAACTAGTTGACTATAGAGATTATTTTTAATTACAAAATAAAAGATCAGGACCAGCAAGCTTGCTGGTAGACGCCAAAGGATACAACGGTGAAGACCAACTCGAGATAATGTAATCAATGAATCCTCAATCACTCCAATCATGTAGATGTGGCTTCTTTACTTAAAATGGGGGTAGGGGAATCCCTAAAAGTCATGTGATAACCTTCTGTGACATCTACTATTAGGTTGAGAAAGCTCTTCATTAATGTTTCCCTTTTTCTATAATTTCAGTGTAGCTGTACAAGGTGGCATGTAGCAGGAACAGAAGAAAATTGAGTTATTGACCATGTATGTACCAATGATTTATATAAAATAATTAACTATCAAAATGAATATGTATTTGACATAGGGTAACAACTTTCTGAACAGGACTCGAGTAGCTTAGGAAATGATAGTAAGAACTGATAAATAGGACTGCATCAACTTAAAAAGCTCCTAACACAATCCTGCATGGTTTACAAAATGGAAATTTTTGTCAGCTATACATCTGACAGAATATTAATGTCCAGACCACAAAAAGAACTTAAAAAGTTAAATGCCAAAAGAAGAAATAATCCAATCAGTAAGTAGATATCCTTGAACAAATTGTTCTCAAAAGCAGAGATACAAATGACCAATATGTAAATGAAAAAAATGATCACCATCTTTAGCCAATAAGGAAATACAAATCAAAACTACATTGAGGGGCTGGGAAGGTGGCTCAGTGGTTAGAGCGCTTGCCTTGCATGCATGAGGCCCTGGGTTCGATTCCTCAGCACCACATAAGCAAAAAGAAAAAAGCCAGAAGTGGTGCTGTGGCTCAAGTGG